GAAGGGCAATAGCACTTAGACTTATATACCGCTTCACAGTGCTTTACAGCCCTCTCTAAGCGGTTTACAGAGTCAACCTATTGACCCCAACAATCTGGGTCATTTTACCGACCTCGGAAGGATGGAAGGCTGAGTCAACCTTGAGCCGGTCAGGATCAAACTGCTGGCACTTGGCAGTACTGCATTCTAACCACTGTGCCACCACGGCTCTTCCCAACAGACACGCTGTTGGGAGACCCTTCTCCTTTCCCCTCTCCAACTTACCTTCCAGCGGGCAGAAACGAGTCACCTGCTCGGGCATCAGCTTCCCTTGCTTGTGTTGACAATACGTCTCGGCAATTTCTTGACGACACTGCTTGGATTTGGCCCTGGAGAGGGCCGAGAGGGCCTCCTTGCCTGAGATGTCACATTTTGGCAGCTGATCGTATCCAAGCTCAGGAGAGCCATTCCCACCCCGTTTCACATGAGGCTGTCTGGGGGATTTTGGGGTGTCTTTCAAAGGGTTGCCATTGTTGTTGGGTTTGGGGGCAGAATTGCCCAAGGGCGGCCGCTCGTTGGAGTTTTTCCCGAGGAGAGCGTTCTCCTTGGCTTTCTCCGCCTGTTCTAGCTTTCTCCGTAGGCGCTCCTTCTGTGCACTGATGGGCTTTTTCACCAGTTCTGGGTGATGCTTCTGCTTCTGGGACCGGGGAGCAAAATTGCTATTGTCAATGTTTTCAAAGTCCTTGGGGACAGAGTTCTCGTTGTTGCTGTCTGTGCGTGTCTTCTCCTTCGGCCGGTGGGAAAAGTAGCCATCCTATAAAAAGGGGGAAAAGAAAGATTAGGACCTGTTGCTACAACAGTGTATTTCCAACTGCACAGGCACACAAGAATACACCGGTCTATTTTTATTGAGTTTTCCAGGTGCTTCCAAGACTTATCTGGAGAAGGGCACTTTGGATTCATCAGTGCTAGAAGGGAGAGGGGTTTGGAGAATGGAGGAAAAGGAGGAGAGGAAAAAAGAGGAGGAGGAGGGATCTACACGTGATCTATAATCTGGTGATCCCCAATTTTGAGCCTCACTGCTTAACAGAACTGCGCTAGATTAGTTCCAAATTGGCTTATCTCCCAGATCACGGAGAAAGCAGAATAAGGACATTCTCTAGAACTAACACTCGTTTAAAGCTTGCATTGACTGAGTAGCATCTGCTTATCACCCTGCTAGCATTTGCTTTCCCTAAACTATCATGGCGTCTTCAAAAGCAGATGCCGCCGATACAGCTCACTGGATTAACTAGAACCACTCCATTAAAAAACAAAAAACAAAAAAAACCTTAGGAAACCCTCCAACAAAACAGAAAGAAGAACCCAAAAAATGGAAGACCGGGTGAACTTTTATAAAATCCAAACTCAACACAAGTTACTGCTGTTCCTCCAATGCATCTGCTTGATTTGTGCGAGTCAGTTTCACCTGACATTTGCAGGAGACAAAACCCCGTCTTCAGTCGAGGGTGAACTGGTGATCAGGGGTATTCCAAGGCTCTCAGGGTTGAGGTTACAGTCCTTACTTTTAACCAAGATTGCTAGCTGACCTGTGATTACATCTCCATCCTTCACCGGAACCCTTCTTGAAAGACCACTCCCCGACAGAAACGTAACCCGTGGACCAACTTGCTTCAAAAACAAACATGAGGTCATGCAACTTATTTTCATATTTGGTGGATGTGTAGGGATATAAAAGCATTTTGGATTAAGATTTGGTGGAATATTCAAAATATTTTTAAGAAAAGATAAAGTTTACACCGCAGTTATTTTTGCTAGGTATTATGGAAGATTTGGATGCTAAAGAAATGAATTTGATGTCGAATCTTATAACAGCTGCAAGATTACTGGTAGCGCAATATTGTAAGAAAAATTCTTTGCCTACTATGGAAGAATGGAGAATTAAGGTGTCTAATTTAGCAGAAATGGCAAAAAATTCCGCTTATTTGAAGGATCAAACTCAAGGAAAATATATTTTGGTTTGGAGAAGATGGATTGATTATATTCAGAAAAAATACGAGATTGAAAAGCATTACTTAGCTTATGAGTAAATTTTAGAATATTATTAATAGTTTATTGTGGATGAATTTATATTATTTTTAGTAATAATGTTTAATTATATTATTATTTTGCTGGAAAAGTGTTAAGATCTATCTATTTTGCAGAATTAAAGTAGGTGTGGATGAGATTTGACTGTAGTATATCTGGGTAATGTTATTTAATTTATGATTCTGTTTTTATAACCCTGTAACCAGCTCTGGGAAGCGAAGGGGGGGAGAGGGGGGGAGGGAAGTGGGATGTTGTATGGAAAATTATTTAAAACTTTTAATAAAAAAAAAACAAAAAAACAAAAACAAACATGAGATAGAACTGTGATCAAAAGCGATCCAGAGGTTTACTGTCCATCAACAATTCGCTTTGGGCTTCACAGAGTAAAGACTTTGCAATCCAGCATCTACCCCAGGGGTCTTCAAACTTGGCCCTTTTATGACTTGTGGACTTCAACTCCCAGAATTCCTCAGTCAGGCATGCTGGCTGAGGAATTCTGGGAGTTGAAGTCTACAAGTCATCAAAGGCGCCAAGTTTGAAGAGCCCTGATCTACAGGCATGGAAAGGTCCATACACGTCTACCCTGAGAATCCCAAATCAGCTGAGATTTCGGGTGGCTGTGTTGAAATCCACACAGAGAACCAGTTGTTCACCTCTTTGAATCCCACCACTGAATGAACATCACTTGAGCTCCATCTGTGGTGGCTAAGCCCAAACCTCCTGCCCCCTTGGCTTGAGTCGCCTTAATCATTCATCTTCCTATTCTTCAGGGATGCTTGCCGGTTAGTCACAGAAACAATATTTCAGCTGCAAAATATATGAGCAAAATCTTGGAAAGCCTACAAAAAAATGTAAAAGCCAAGCATAACAGTTCTGGAGAAGCAAGTCCCCAAAGATTCATAAATATGATCCATTTATGCTCTTAATCTACAACAAGTCTTTTATAGAAACCGCTGCTTTTAGGAGGATTTCTCCAGCAGATCACAGGTGGTCCTTGACTTACAACCACAATGTAGTCCAAAATTTCTGTTGCTAAGGGAGACGGTGGCTAAGTGAGTTTTGCTCCTTTTTAACACCTTTCTTATCACAGTTGCTATGTGAATCCCTGCACTTGTTAAATTAGTAATATGGTTAAGTGACTCTGGCTTCTCCATTGACTTTGCTTGTCAAAAGGTCGCAAAGGGTCATCACATGACCCCCGGGATGCTGCAACCGTCATAAATATGAGTCAGTTGCCAATCCTCTGAATTTGAATCACGTGACTATGGGAACGCTGCAAGGCACGTGTGAAAAACGGTCATAAATCAGTTTTTTCCCAGTGCCTTAACTTTGAACAGATAATAATAATAATAATAATAANAAGAAGAAGAAGAAGAAGAAGAAGAAGAAGAAGAAGAAGAAGAAGAAGAAGTTGGAAGGGACCTTGGAGGTCATCTAGTCCAACCCCCTGAAACCCTATACCATTTCAGACAAATGGCTGTCCAATCTCTTCTTAAAAACTTCCAGTGTTGGAGCATTCACCGCTTCTGGAGGCAGGTTGTTCCATTGGTTAATTGTTCTAACTGTCAGGAAGTTTCTCCTTAGTTCTAGGTTGCTTCTCTCCTTGATCAGTTTCCATCCGTTGCTTCCTGTCCTGCCTCCAGGTACTTTGGAGAATAGCTTGACTCCCTCTTCTTTGGGGCAGCCCCTGAGATATTGGATCACTGCTATCATGTCACCCCTTGCCCTTCTCTTCATTAAACTAGACAGACCCAATTCCAGCAACCGTTCTTTATGTTAGTTTTAGCCTCCAGTCCCCTGATCATCTTTGTTGCTCTTCTCTGTGCTCTTTCCAGAGTCTCGACATCTTTTTTACATCGTGGTGACCAAAACTGGATGCAGTATTCCAATTGTGGCCTTACCAAGGCCTTGTAAAGTGGTATTAATACTTCACGTGATCTTGATTCTACCCCTCTGTTAATGCAGCCTAGCATTACTTCACGTGATCTTGATTCCTGTAAATCCAAGGACTGCCTTGTATCTTTTTTTGATCTGCATTACGGGTGTCTTTCACCACTTTCTTTTTCCTTCCTTTTGCTCCATGGTCTTCAGCTTCAGACACTCTTGAGCAAAGCTGAAACACGGTTCTACTGTGGCTTGCAAAGGACCCCAAAGAAAGCAAAGGTGATTTTCACTTTTGCCATTCTGTTTTAAGGCTGTGCAAATATTCGGATCAGGAGATCTGACTAAACAAAGCACTTTTCCCAAAGTCTTTTCCCAGGGCTGCATTAAAGTGGATGCCTCTCAAAGGGGTTTGCAACAAAAAGCCGGGTTGCAAAACCACGGTTTGTTCTTCCTGCTAAGCGGGAATCAAGCCAGCGTTCCCAGTTTGTGGGCAACATTTTGCAAACCACAGAAGTGGGCTGTGCGGTTAGTTTTAATTATCCTTGCCAGCCAGGGGGAGAAGAGGTAATTTTGTAAGCAGCCCACAGTTGCCCTGTGGTTAAGATGGGCAGCCAATAAATTTGATAAATAAAAAACAAATAAAGGTACGTAGTTGCTTTCAGGCTTTCCCCCCCCTTTTTTCTCTTTTTTCACTTGGCTAGTTTTTTGCCTTTGCTTTTCCATTTTCTCATCCTCTGCATGACGGGGCAACTGCCTTGCGTTTCCAGAAAGCTGGGGCCTGACACATTAAAATGTTTATTTGCAACAGATTTTGAGATAAACAAAACAGCTTGCAGCAAACCCTGGGTTTTTTGTTGTTGTTGTTGTTGTTTTGGGGGAGGCTGATGGCTTCCAAGTCCTCAAACAGCCGTTCTGCATCAGAGGAAAGCCTGAGATTTGTCTTCTCGAATTCAAGCGTGGAAAACAGAATAGCCGAATGGACTCTGATCATCCTGAACTTCTTTGAAAACCTCCCCATTTTGGCAGAAGGGAAACGAGAGCTAGGCCAAAAAGAGCAGATGGGAGAAGAGAGCAGATGCTTATGACATTGGCTTCGTCCATATGCTTCCCCTCGCTTAATTCTTTACTATTTATTTATTCCTCTCTGTTATTTACTTTTTTTTGAAGAGGGAAAGTCAAATGGCATTTTCATAAATACCCGAACATTCAGAGTCTGGAGGCGCACTCTGAAAACCTCGTTCCCGAAACGAGAATGGGATGGCACCTACGGGCGGTCCTCGACTTACGGCCACAATTCAGCCCCAAATTTATGTTGCTAAGCGAGACAATGGTTAAATTAGTAACACAGTGGTTAAGTGAATCTGTCTTCTCCATTGGCTTTGCTCTGTCAGAAGGTCGCCAAAGGGACGGGACCTCGGGACACGGCAGCCGTGGTAAATATGAGTCCGTTGCCAAGCGTCTGAAATTTGGTCACATGACCATTGGGGAGGCTGCAACAATTCTAAGCCAGTTTGGGTCACCATATCACCAAAGCACAAAAAAGAGGTTGAGGGTTTGGGAAAAAATCCAGAGAAGAGCAACTAAGATGATCCAAGGCCTGGAGACTAAAACATAACAAGAACGGCTGCAAGACTTGGGTTTGGCTAGTCTAAAGAAAAGAAGAAATAGGGGAGACAGGATAGCAATATTCCAGTATTTGAGGGGCTGCCACAAAGATGAGGGAATCACGTTGTTCACCAAAGCACCAGAGAGCAGGACGAGAAACAATGGTTGGAAACTGAACAAAGAGAGAAGCAACTTGGAATTAAGGAGAAACTTCCTGACAGTGAGGACAATTAACTA